AGCCCCGCCTGCAGAGCCCCCGAAGCAGGGGGAGGCGCCCCAGGGACCGGCTGCCCAGCTGCAGAATTCCGGGGCGTCCCTCGCGGTCCACGCTCAGCTGTCCTCCGGACTCGCGTTTGTGCTCCTGGGTGCAGGGCAGACGCCCCGGGCCGCCATCGCTGCTGGCCTCCCGTGTGCAGGACGAAAACAGGCCACGCGCAGGAGAAAGCTGATCCCATAGACCTTCCAGCCAAGCGCGGCCACGTCTCGTCTGTACTGGCCGAAGCTGCCCAGTGAGGATGGCCCTGGAGAGGTCGGCGCACAGACAACTCAGGCAGCGGCTTTTTTTTTTTTTCCCCCTTGCCCTTTTTTTGTTCTCCAGTGAAAGCCCCGATCCCAGATCCCAGGCGAGAGCTATTTCCTGCCACGCCCCCACTCTATGTACTGAGCGGTCTGGCTAGGATGTCCTCCGGAAGGGCCGCACGCCAGATAGCCCCATGGCAAACCCCCTTTGACAAAAGTGCAAGGAACACTGTGACATATTAGTTGTAGACTCTGGGAGATGTGCGAGGGGGTTTCTCTAAGTTCGTAGGGAAGTTCCATGATAGGTTGCAAGGTTTTCACCGGCAACTCTCCGCTTGAAAATGTTCTTCAAGAAATGGAGAATGGCTATTGAGAAAACTACTCATTCTCTTGCCCCTTACTCGAGTATTTCTTATCACCTTTAACAAACTCCAACGCCTGTTCCTGATAAAAAGTGAAATGGCATAGAAGGGAAATTACTTCACACAATAAAGGGCATATGCACAAAACCGAAAGCCGTGGCAAGCATCACTTTCAATGGAGGGAACCTGGAAGCATTCCCCTGGCATGTGGAAGCCAGACAAAGATGCCCTTTCTCACCCTTCCCATTCAACGTTGTGCTGGAAGTCTTAGCCAGAGCGACTAGACAGGAAAGGGAAATGAAAGGCATCCAACTTGACCAAGAAGTCAAACTCCATGGGCAGGTGCTATGATCCTAGACTGAAAACCCCAACAATTCAGCAGGAAACTTATTGGAACCAATTGAAAGGTTCAGCAAAATGGCAGGATAAAAGACCAAAATGCAAAAAGCAGTTGGATTTCTTTACACTTACAATGAGAGTTCTGAAAGTCAGAAAAGCATACCATTTACAAAAGCCATCCAAAAGATTAAATATTTAAGGATAAATCTGATCAGATTGAACTATTGATATTCATATCCATAAGGATATTTGGATTCTGTCCCAATAAAACTTAAGAAGGTAAGAAAGCAGTCTACATAAATAGAAGAATATACTATGCTCATAGATCTCACTGCTATCAAGTCAACGCTGACCACCCTCCCCAACCCCCACCGTGGGTTCCTGAAACTAATTGTTTACAGGAGTAGAAAGCCCAGTCTTTCTCCCAAGGAGCTGCTGGTGGCTTCAAACTGACGACCATGCAGATTGCAGCCCAACATGTAACCACTATGCCACCAGGGCTCCTATATTCATGGATAGGAAGACTTAATATTGTGAAAATATCAATACAATTAAAAATGATCTATAGCTATAATGCAATCCTGATCCCTATTGTACAATAATTCGTTAAACAGATAGAAAAACGAATCATCAATTTGATAATGAAAAAGACCTTAGAGAAGCAGAATACTACTAAAGAACAAAGTAGGAGACCTTTGACTAACAATCGAAAAGCCCGCTCCCCAGCGTGATAGTCAAAACAGTCTGTCAGTCATACATATGTCAAGCATATATAAATACATAAACAAGGGGAACAGAACTGAGAACGCTGGGTAAATCCATCCACCTGCAGGTCTTTGACAAAGGGCGAGAACGCATTAAATGGAGAAGAGATAGTGTCTTTAACCAACAGTACTGGCAAAACTGGACATCCATTTGCAGAATGAAACAGGGCTTATAGCTAACACCACACGCAAAATGAACTCAAGATGGATCGGAGAACTAAACGTAAAACCTAGAACTAATAAACTCATCAGTGAAAAAGTAGAGGCAAACATAGGAGCCCTAATAGATGGCATACCTACACTATTATCATGGGAAATACGCAAACCGCAGAAGAAAAGAAGTGCTTGGATCCTCCCAAAAAGAAAAAGAGAACGACAAATGCTGGCGAGGGGTCAAATAGACTGGAACCTTCCGCTACTGCTGGTGGTAGGGGCATCTGCTGTGGAAAGCAGTATGGTGCTTCCACAAAAAGTTGGGACTATAAATAGCGCATGTCCCACCAATTATTTTCTTTGGTATGTATCCTATAGAAATAAGAGCCATGGCAAGAACAGCTATATGCACATCCATGTTCATAGCAGCACTATTCAGAAACAGATGGAAACATCCTAAGTGGCCATCAGTGGAAGAATGGAGAAATAAACATCGGAAATACTATGCAGCATGACAGAAATGCAATGCATTTGCTTCACACCTCAGCATGAATAAACCCGGGGGACACTGTGCTGAGTGAAATGAGTCAAACACAAAAGGATCAGTGTTAAGTGAGATTACTACTATAAAAAGTCAAGAACAGGTTTTCATGCTAAAAGAAACATTCTTTGATGGTTAACAGGGTGGGAGGCAAGTGAGGGAGGAGAAATCGCAGGCTAGAGGACAGACAAGTGTTAACTCAGGTGAAGGGGGAGGCCATATACACTGAGAAGAAAGTCAGGAAAAATTGAGGGAGGCAGGAGAAGATACTGGAAGTTTTGCAAGAGTTAAAGGCAGCAGAGGCAAATACCATTAAATACACAGTCCTGCAACAGTAGGAATCTACAAGCGGATGCTTGCATAGACACGCAGACTGAACAGGTTGGAGAGAAAGGAGTAGTGTATATGTCAAATATGTTCGATAGAAGCTATGTTTATAGATAGATCCAGGAATGTGGTGAAGCATACAGGGGACACAGTCATACACAGTTCTTAGACTTAACCAAACACCTCGAGGGAAGGATCGCTTGGCCTGGGGGTCAAGTCTCTGAGGAGTCCAAGGTCAATTGGCATAACATAGTTCACAGAGACAATGTTCTACAGCCTACTTTGGTGAGTGAGGACTGAGGTCATCAATGCTTGTGAGTTGTCATCTCTGGTGTAACCACTGGCCTCTCCCTGCCCACAGGAAAGAAGTGATGGAAATCAACTGACACTTGGAAACAATTGTCTACCGGACGAACGGACTACGTAACATCAGTCTTCACACTCCCGAGATCAGAAGAACTAGATGGTGCCTGGCTACGACTACCAACTGCTTGAAAAGGATCTCACATTAGGTTTGGGAGAGAGGAGAGAAATGTGGGTCAGAAATCCAAATCCTGAAAGAGGCCAGTCTGACTGGTCAGACAGAGACGAGTGGAACCCCGGACTACGGTGCTTCCCTTTCAGGTCTGGAACTGAACTAGCCACCGTGTTCAGATCATCGACTATCGTAAGATCAGAAGGGCAGCGTTTATCCAAGGATCAAGTTCAAAGAGTTTGGAAATAGGAGGAATGGAAACAAAACCCAAAGGAAAAAGTGGGTCACGTGGCAGTGCATTGGAAAGATGGCAATAGGTGAGTTGAATCAGAACGTGTATGCATTGTCAGCTACAGAATGATGGAAACTGTCACCTAAGTCAACAGTAAGAAGTTCAAAAACAAAACCCCGAATGTATTTCTCCAGCATGTGAGTGAAGTCGCACTGGATCTCTCTGACTTCTGTGAGCTCCGTAGTCAACTCTCCCGCCGGTTTCTGACAGCATTTGCCCTTTTGCTGTTTTTGGCTCTTGCTCTTCTTCTCCTCCCTTGTGATCTACAGTAAAGTGGGTCACAGTTAGGGCTGTGTGTCAGTCCAGTGCCCCACGGTGTCGCGCCCCCCACCCGCGCAACCTGGCACCTGGTCGCCATTTGCACAGTAGTTGAGTATGAAATGCGAGCTCCTTGGCATTGGCATTTTACTTCGTCTGCTTTGATGGTCAACACCTTACATCATCACTAGATGTAAACAGGGTGTAAATAAAATCCGTTTTTGGCAAGCTTCCTGTGAGGGGCACGGATCTGGAATTTTCTGTGACCCTTAGCTGTAGCTCATGCAGAGCTCAGGCAGCACAGAAAACATTACCTAGCCCTGCACCATCGTCATGCTTGAGTCTGGCTTTTGCAGCCATAGTACTAGGCTGACACCTAGTCCCAATTCAGGCCCACCCGGGCAGTAAAACATACACTACCCAGGGCAGTGACCAGCGAGTTAGAGTTCTGTGTGCCTCCCCTTCTCCCTACCCCCGACGGAGCATATCAATAAAATAGAGCCAATAGCTAATTCAAGGGAGAGGTGTGAAAATCAAGGGAGTTGAAGGACCTACAGCCAAGGTGCTCCTTAGACATGAGGATGGTAAGGCTTCACGTCACACACTTTGAGCATGTGACCAAGAGAGCCCAGTCCTTAGAAAAGGGG